TCCAATCCAGCTTAGTCGCGTTTTTATCCGAAAACGGATTAGCCGAGTTTTTATCCGAAAAACGAGTGAATATTTTTTTCATTGCTTTACATAGGACATGAGAGCTTTGATACGGACTAAAAAAACTATACTTAGCCGGCCTAGATACGCTCTTGGCTCAGGTTTAAGATCCAAGTTTTAAACTGACTTATCATACTGTGAGACTCGATAAAATCTTAGTGGAGTTTTTACTGTATATAAACGAAATCGATAGAAATTGATATATGGACAGTAAAGAAATACATTTGGTAAAAGAGTTAAGTTAGATACGTAAGAACCTAACTTAACTCCCTTATTTTTAATGAAATTTTTATCAAAGTACCTTAGAATTATTTTTAAGAAATATTTTTTAAAGAAAATATTTCCTTTTGACAAAAAAAAATGAAAAAATTATAGTAAAAAAAATTAAATATTGGTTTTCATTTTTTTTATTGATCTCTTTTTTTTAGTTTTTTTGTAAATTATTATTATCTCCACTATTTAGTGTTACACTTTTTTTAGATATCTCCCACTTTCTTTTACTATTTGCAAGATTTTACAATCCAAAGTGAAGAAAAAAAGAGAAATCAAGGTTAAGTTACTTCAGTATTTTCTTGATTCTTATTTTGGAATTTATATTATCTTTAAATTAAGAAATTAAGGAGATATTTTTTTTGTTCTAGTTGGTTTTAGATCAGCAGGAATTCTAAATTATTATTTTTATAAGCTATTTTATTAAAGTTATACACGGAACTGTCCAACACCTTTTTACGATTCCAGCCATCTTACTATAAGCCTTGGCCTTCCAATAAGGGGAGGATTGCAAACAGGCGAGCCCTATAGAGTGGATAATATAATATTATGATAATTTCGATACCATCATCGCCAAAACGACGAAAAATTTTCATGAGATACTTTGAAAAATAAAGAACCTATCTACAGATACTAGTATCTTATTAAAAGTCTCAAAAAGATATAAGAATATGATACTTGATCAGTACCGATTAAATTAGAATAGTTGAGCAATAAAATAAAATTTTATACTAAATTTATTTGTTAAGAACCTAACATTGGTATAATAGTTAAAGAAAAAATTAATTTATATATATAAATATTAATAAAGCTCTTTCTCGGAGAAAAAATATTTACAATAATTGATAAAATATTTCAAATTATATTTAATGATGAGATAGCTCTGTATGTTTCCACACTTCATAGTGAACCTCCAAATTGAGTTTCATAACGCAGAAAGACTATTTTTATTAGTAACTAAAGAATAAAGTGTGGCAGGTATATTTGATTTACCTGGGTAAGATATTTTATCTATTTCATCTAAAGATAACATTAAAAAATACTCTGTTAATCATTACTTTCACTAAAGCGTAATAGGCCATTCTCATAATCATTGTCAAGATCATTTAATTTTACACCATATAAGGTAGGATGTCTTTACAAAATTGGTTGCGTTTTGGTAATTGTAGCAATTGCTTTATCTGAAATCCCGAACTCTGTATAGATCTCTTTCAATAATTGTGCTATTTTATCATAAAAATTCCAGACATTTTCCTATATATTCAGCGTCTACATGAGCGGAAAGGGTAGGAACAATTTGGATCCTATTTTTTTTTTGAGGGGGTAGGATTTTTTTTTTGGGGGGGAGGGGGTTATCTATTAAATTTTGAGATGAAATAGGACAAAATTTATTACTGTAAAAATTAATAGGGGAGACCGGGGTAAAGCGATTGACGGGGTAACAATGTTAACGCGAATAACTTTTTAACCATTGAGTATAAAGACCTTAAATTTGGTGTGAAGATGTATTTTTATATCTAATTTCTTACCTATGTTCATCTTTTAAGAAACTTACCTGGTTTTATATATTTTGTCAAAAAACTATTTTTTACCCAAAAAATATAAAAATCATTCTCTAGTATATTTTGCTTTTAGTAAAATTTACATATCCTCAGGATTCAAAATTTGGCACACATGTTCCTTAATGTATTAGCTATAAAATAAAATTTATCTGATATCTTTAGCTATATTAGAAGTCACGCAATAACGATATTTATAATATATGTCACCTAGGGGTAAAGCTGTTATGGGTAAAACGGTTAAAATATAAAATTATTCACATTAATTTTTCATTAATTCATTTATTATAATTTTTATTGTATCAATCAAATAATGAGAAATTATAAAAGAAAAACCATATACAGAGATGTAAATATAATAAATGAAGCCATAAAATATAAAATAACAAATAATACTTCATTAAATTTGTCTGCTAAAAAATTTAACATGAGAAGGAGATGTAAAATTGGTATTAAAAGTTCAGATCATCATAAACAAATATTTACAAATGAAGAAGAATCTAGATTGTGTGACTACATATTAGAAGCAAGTAGGTCATTTATGGGATTAACGCTTAAACAAGTAATTAAATTATATTGTTTGTATTATATTGTATTTCATAATTTTAATAACTCAATTTAAATATCAATATTAAGTAACTTTAATAAAAATGCTCAATTGAAATTATATTGTATTTCATAATTTTAATAATGCTCAATCTAAATATCAATATTAATTTGGTAACTTTAATAAAAATGCTCAATTGAAATTATATTTTATTTCATAATTTTAATAATGCTCAATCTAAATATTATTAATTTGGTAACTTTAATAAAAATGCTCAATTGAAATTATATTGTATTTCATAATTTTAATAATGCTCAATCTAAAAATCATGTGGGGCAACAATTTCAGATTTATGATATTCCAGGAGTGTTAAAAAATGAAATACCAAGGGCAGTGACATCAAATAATATATTAAATGGATTCTTAGCATGTGACATATTTCCTTTAAACCCAAATATATTTACAGAACAAGATTATATCTGCTGTAATAATTCAAATGCTAACTCAAATATTGAATTTGAAAATAATGATGAAAATATTACAGTGACTCAAAATAATGATAGTGATTTATCTATATTATTGAACGAAAATGTTCCAGATGATATTGATGAACCTTATCATGATATGTTACCATCATGCTCAAAAAATTATAATAAAGTATTCAATCCTTCATCTATAATACCTATTCCAAAATTATTCAATATTTCATCGGATAAAATATCTAAAAAAAAGAATTCAGAAATATTAACATCTACACCTTATAAAAAAAAATTATTAATTCAGAGAAAAAAAAAGATATCAAAAAATAATTGTTTATGTGTTATTTGTAATAAAAACTATAAAAATAGTCGCGAGGGCGATGAATGGCTAAAATGTACAATGTGCCTTGAATGGGCACATTCTAAATGTGCTAATTATGATAATTATTTTACATGTCCTTATTGTTATTACAAGTTACCTTAAATATAATAAAAATGCCCTTTACTCTCAATTATATAACTTAACAACCCAAAATAATTCTTTCTAATAATATTAAATAAATACCATTGACCATTAACGACGATCCATATTTAACATAATTATCTTTATTTCCAATAAAACCACCAATCTAACATAAAATATGTAGAAAAATATAACATAATATAATTATTCAATTCTTCATTTCTCAAAGGTCCACAGCTGACATCCAAAGGTCCACAGCTGACATCTAATCCAATATCTCTTAATCTCCAACTACGGGTTTTTCCGAACAATGAAACACACCCCGTGATCCCTATCTCCTCTTCTTCCCACAAGGAAAACTTAATTTCCCTGTCAGAAAATAACTGACATTTGATGTATTATA